TAAGTTATCTGTCAATTATCATGTCAATTTATCCGATGGTACTGCGTTTTTTAAATGAATCAAATATGACGTTTGCCAGTTCCACAATCAAGCCAATGATTTACAGAGGTTTCTGCACAGAAATCTGAAAGAGGTTTTCCATTTAGGTAGATGTTCATAAAAGCGTTTAACGCTTCTTGTTTAACACCTGTAAGTAATGTGTTTTTTTGTAAGTTCATTGCTGAAAAGCCCCTTTCAACCGCTGCAGTACTCCCAGACAGAGAAAACATCAATTCCACCATGCACAGTATGTTGCTGTATTTCGAGATTAGAGGGTCATTTTAGAAGTGAGGAGCTTGTAAGATGACAAAAATTGAAAATATATCACGAACATTAACGGGAAAATGGCCGTCCGCGCGGACGTTGGATTCGAGAAATTTGTTGTCCGCAGGCAATTTTTGACCGCCGAGGACGGGCGGACGGGCGGTTTTTCGAGCCCTGTGTTTTATTTCATTCATTCATGTCTCGCGAGTCTAGAAATTCAGTGCCTATATGTGAGTGCTTGAAACATGTTGATTTCCTTTACCCTTATAATTTTTGAATCAAATGAAGTTTTTAGATTATCATATACTTAGGTAATCTAATCTTTCAATTGAAAAGCTCTTGATCAGCTTTTTCTTTCTAATTGCTTTAATTAAACATTTTTGCCGATTAATATGTTCTAAATAAGTTTACCTTTTAGGTGCCCTACAGCTGATCCTGAAAAACCTTTTGGTGGCTCATCATTGTAAAACAAATATGTTGCAGCCTGAAATAATATTTATAATATATTTAATTATATTCATTAAAATAATTATCGACTAATAATTTTATTTAAAGTTAACAAAACTGAAAATGATATAAATCGTAATATAACTTTTATTATTGATTATAATGCTTTTTAAAGCTAAGTTTATCTGTTTGATTAAGTTTATAAGATGTTAAGTAATCATTACTTTAATGTATAATTTTAGAATCCTGGTCTGAAATAAATAAAAAAAAATTGCACATCAGGGTCTCAAATTTACATTTAAGCGAGAAAAGCTCAAAACGTCATCAAAATATGACGAAACACTATTCAGAAAAGCAGGATTAAGAACATAAAGTTGTTGAATAAGACTCGAAGGTTTATCCAATATACAATTTTCCATCTCATTTCAGTTACCAACGGCAATCAAACAGATTTTGTTGCTTCTGAAATCACCTTAATGAATTGATAAGTTTTGAATATGTTTGACAGTAAATTATTATTTTTTTCGAAACTGTTTGAATTAAATTCGATTCTATTAAACTCAATTCTACAAAGTCCCGCAGTGGACTGATCGTTAAGACACGGTTCCCAGTAGATCACCGAAATCAAGCATCACTGTTGCGGTCAGTGTGCTGGTGGGTGACCTTTTGGATCAGTCTGAGTAGTGACCGAGAGTCTGCAGTATTAGTCCTCGTTAAACTGTTCTACCGCAAAGTGCTCGACTTCGCGCGCAGGTCGTCGGGCTACCGAAGAGGGGGTGCCATCCCCTCTGCAGAGGATCAAAATTGTAACGGCATGTCTTCGGATCATCCTCAGGGATGTTTCCGAGACCGTCGCCAATAGCCCATTGTGCAGCTCTAGTGCGACGTAAATGAACAACAACATTTCTGCAAAAAATGGTCCCTTACATAATCTTTTTTTCATTGACGTAATTATATATTTAATATTTGTACTTTAGAATATATAATTATTAGCAATTTCACATACGTTTTCATTTCTTTTCAGATCTTTCCAAGTTTTCCCCAACATTGAATTTTCATCCGTAATGGAAATTGAAGATAATTTCCAAGAATTCGGATCAGATGATGTCAAATATGCATATTTTGATCCATGAGGAGATTCTTCAAGTCTGGGTAACTTATAGAGAATGAACCTAAGAGATTTAAATCCAATGATAATATAACATCTATTTAATAAGTAATACTCTATTTATTGGAGTTATACGAGAGTCAATTTTATTGCAAAGTGAAACAAAACTGTTTTCCAATCATAACCCCATCAACCTTTCTGCGTGTTGATTACTGTAAAAAATACCCGTTGTTTCCTCTGAATTTCTCTGCATATTTAACGCTGTCTTTCGAAGCTCCGTCGGCAAGAAAAATAAAAAAACGCCATAGTTCAATTGCCTTACACTTGAAGCAATGCGATGATCTTAAATTATATGTATAATTTTGCCGTAAAGAATTATCTAGGCTTTATAACAGACGAATAACTTAAATATTTGAAAAGTTATTAAATGGTTTTCCACCTAAAGGAAAATTATAAAAATCACTGCCCTATTCTCAGTTTTTGCAAATTTTTATGAGCTCCGGTAATTGGAGCATTGGAGTAAGTTTTTAAATATTAAAAAATTAGATCACAAACGCTTTTGATTTTCACAAAATCGTGACTTTTCTCCATGTTGACGTTTTGAGCCATTATCAAAATAAACGTAGACAGCGCTGGCTTTAGATAGGCTATACTTGATCTAACAGTCATAAATAACAGGCAAACTTAGAGCAGTTATAAGAACAGCATATTATTCGCGAAAAAGCACCATTTCAAAATACGACGGAGCTTTCGAAAAACAGCCTTAATGGTTTAAAGCTTTATTTTTTGGTAAAATGTTTTTCCCCCCGTTTTTCACCCAAATCACAAACAAAATAAAACCGACAGTTGAAATTCTAGATTTTGTCATGCAGTTTTGAGTTCCGTAATTTAACTTTACCTTTTCTCCAATCATTCTAAGATTATTTTCCATACTGTCTCGTATTTTCTAGTTATTGTTCTATGATTTTGAACATCGTGCAAATACAACTACGATTCAACTTTACTGTCGAATTGATACAATACTGAATCAAAATTCCCACGATCACAATTACTTACTAATTAAACTCTTCAGCCGCAATGGCTCAGGTGACAGAGCACGCGCCTCTCAATAAAGTGTACCCGCTTCGAATCTCAACAATGACTGCCCGGTACAAATTTTGCCAACATAAAATATTCACATCTGGTGCGAGTACAGACTTACTTCGCAACTTTCACTGAGAAAACTTGTTCTTATATGATAAAAGTCTGTTGAGAGAACAGATTTAATTTTGTTGTAAAAACTTGTTTTGTTACGGTAAAAAATCTGCCTGATAAAGGATTTTCTACGAAAAAAAGAACAAGTTTTCTTTGAATAAAATAAAAAAAAAACTTGTTCTTGTAAGTAAAAAAACCTTTGAGGCCACGGATTTACTTTGTAAGTTTTGTGGTTTGCACAACCAACCCAGCTGTTGGTTCAAAGCCGTAAATTCTATGGATTTTTTTTACAGCTTTTGATGTGGAATTCGAATTTGAACTAAGAGATTACGGGTGATCTCAGAAGAAGCAAAAATGATATTTTTTTTTGAAATTTTTATTTACATTTGAAAGAGATAAAAAACGATGTTTTACGAAATTAAATATCACTAAAAGTACAAAAGTTAAAATAATTTAGTTAAGTAAATAATGTCTGATTAACCGAGATACTTCAACTATGTGATACAAAAAATGTTATGAGTTCCAGGAACATGATTTAGAGTCGTAAAGCTTGTGCACTACTCAAAAGCGCATATAGTTGAGATGTTTAAGTTAATTTTTGACAAAACCAGTTACTAGTTGAAAAAAATAAAGACAATGTAAAATTTAATAAAAGAACTGAATTTTATTATTTATACATTTTGTAATTATACTTAATTATATATTTTTTTATTTTATAAATTTGCTTTTTTTCATTGAATTTAGGTTTGCTAAAACATATTAGCTAATATGAAAATATGTCACTTCATTTAAAATGGTACAACCAATTTGGATTTGTATTCTGAAGTTATGTTTCACAAGGAATTATCGAAAACAATATCTTACTACTACGTTTGGTGCACGAAATCGGGATCAAATGTTTGCTCAGAGACTCAGAGGAGATGTCACGACATTATCAAAATTTTCACCCAAATTTCAAATTTAGTTGCAAATGTTTTTCTGAATCTTTATTTAATTAAATATTTTAATCTAATCATTTATAGATGCAAATGTATTTTACGTAAAAAAAACCCCTAAAACTCTCAGTTTTGCACAGTTAAATATGCTAATTAATTAGTGCAGATTATATTTAAGCTACGAAATCAGACATAAAAACGTAGTTTTTTTGAATAAAAATTTCTTTTTTTAGATGGATTCGGATTTTGGATTTCCAAAATATAGAAAGTAGCCGAAATCAGGGAAAGAAGACGCAATGTGGTTCCAATAGTTTAGTCAGGAGAGCAATCCTAATTTTAGACCCCTTCGTATTAATTTTCCTTTTTGCACATTTCGCCCCATCTCGAGATCTTTTTAAGTGAATTGAAAAATTTTTGCACGCAATTATGAAATTTGTTTATGCAAAGATAATTCCATGCAAAAACGAATTTTAGAAAATATGAATTACTAATAGGCTGCGCCCCCTGCTCGCTCATGCTCGTCAACCCCCGAAAATTGCTACACTATCTTATATGGCTCCAAACTTCGCAAACCAAGCTCGCGTCACTCGCTACTAACTTAGCTACATTGCAAATGCACAAAGTTCTAAGAATTCAAAGCAATCATTCAAATCCACATAACAACTTTAAAAAAAAAAAAAAATTACATCTTTTTAGTAAATACTAAGTCATTAAAATAAATTTGAATTCAAATAAATGACATGCAATTCGTTAAACCTATTAGAAATGTGCTATAGTATAATTCGTGATATAAATCAAAAATCGACAAATAAATTCGTAATATATAAATTCGTGAAAAAAAGCGTTTTCGACAAAATACTAAAATAGGGATCTATCGACAAAGACTACTCACTTCTGCCTAGCTTAATAGTATGAGATTATAGGATGAATTTCGGAAGAGATCCCACTTGGTGAGAATGCTCTCTCTGGTTATTTCAGTTTCCGTTTTTAAAAAGTGCAATATGTCGAGCCACCTCAGCTAGATTTGGCATGTGACATTTTTAGCGACTATCATTAGTCAATTTTCTAGCGTTGCCATTCGGGGAGTTGTAATGAGGCTTTTTTTGTCGCTATGTAAGAGAAATATATATATATATATTGATTTTTTCATAATTTTATTAAACAATAGTCGTAAAATTTTGAATTGTAAGATATATAATTTTTGCATCATTTTAAGGTACGTAATTTTACATGGCAAAATACAAAATTTGCCCGAAACTGGTTGAATAGTTCCTGAGAATTTTAAAAATACGGCTTCTTAAAAATTCGATTTCTCAGGAACTATTCATATGATAAATAACACAATGTCAGGCAAATAGTCAATTATTAATGGTTTTTTTTAAAAAAAACAAGTAAAAACACTTTTAGCCAACTTACCAATCAATGTCTTGATTTTGTTCATTTTTGCAGCTTATTGCAAAGGCTTCTTTAATATCAAGAGATACACACATGCAAATGTATAAAAAATATACAAGGAAAGGCATATTGTGTAATGGCTAAAATCTGATAATAAAGTGCTTCTAGTTTTGGTGCTTCTTTCTATTTCAAAACTCTTTGTTAATGCACATCGGTACAGTTGAAATTAATGCTTATGTGAGCTCATAAAGTGCTAATTCTAATTCAGGATTCAGAGTTAAGTCACAATTAAGTTCTATACAAATTCTCATTCGTCTGTATTTCGGAAACAAAACTCTTTCAGGCAAATACTGAAAACACGCATTTTTTTATCAAGATAAATGGTCAATTACATTTTATTTGTGTTTGTGAGTTAAGTTTTGTATGCTTAGCTGATAAATGGTTGCAGAAAAATACGTCAGCTGACATGACACGGGTAACTTTTTTAATTTAAAGCATTTGTGTTTTCACAATGCTTATTAAGAAATACTTTTAGATTATTCCCATTGTTTTCATAGCATGCCAAAAATAGAAACGAGACAACTAGAAATAATTCGCAGATAAAATATATTTAGACACTTTTTTCATAAATATTGAAGTTTATTATTACTTAAAAGAATTGCTTAACACTTGAGGCAGAATTTTTATTGAACATACTTTTTCGCACTTTTTTCATTATTTTGTATTGTTTTAGGTCAAAATAAGTAAAAACAAAAATTATATTTAGCATTGTAACAGTTTTTTTAACAAACTAATATAACTTTATTGGGAACAAAACAAACACAAAAATACGAAGAATATATATTCGTCGTCAAGAGGAAAATCCTGTCCAGGCGACAAAGAAAAGTAATACAATAAATTTAAATTAGAAATTTAAAAGAAAAGGGGGGGGATATTACAATCATGAATTATTTTGCTCATCATAAGACATCATATACTGAACACTGTAATAATAGGAAAAAAAAGCCATGAAACTATATAAAAAAGTAACAAAGGTAACATAAGAAATTCATTTGGATTGGCACAAGGCTGGTATAAAAAATCAAATGCTTCCTTTTAAGTGAAAAATAGAAGTCTAAATCGTCAATGTTCATCATAAAAGCCCGCTTAAAAAAAGAATATATTTGGATGTTTTGCAGCTGGAATGGTAATTTATTATATAATTTAGGTGCTAAGTAAAAAAACTGTTTTCGTGAAATTTCTTTTATAAAGTGGGGAATCTCATATATTTCATTTGGTCTCCTTTCAGACACATTAGTTTTTAATTTGCATATTAATTTATTGTTGTGTAAATAAAGTAAAATACGAAAAAATACATTATGGCGAAATGGTAATAGGTTAATTCTTGTATATATATTGGTAGTAGTTATACTTGAATTATTTATATTTAGAGAATTATTGATCTTGAAGCATTTATTCTGAACTGAGATTAAAGGAAGTAAATTAGTTTTTGTTTATTTATGGTTATGAAATAGAGCATGGAGCATCTGATCCTTTTTCTGCGTTAAAAGTAAAATCTTCCGAACTATTATTTTCCAAATTTGCACTTATCTGCTGTTAAATAGATTTAGGAGAACAGTTTTTCATCAATGATAATTCTTTAATTCACAAAATAAATTATTGATAAATTTTCAAATATCAATAAAAAAAGGAATTATAATTCTTTTTTCTTTTTGGATTTAACATTTTAGTAGAAATGAAATTCCGATAATCTAACAGATTTTTTAGTAACTATTAGACTATTTCTTATAATTAAGAATATATTAAAATACATTTTCGTTTATAATTAGAGTGTCAGAAAAAATATATAAAAAGGGACACAGGTGTTCTGCCTGCGTCAAAAGGTTAACACCTTAAAAGCTTATTTTATTTCAGCATTTGAATATTTTATTTAAAATAGGAATAGTATTAAATAGTATTCTGGATAATTCGCACTCACAGTTCTTAATATTTATTTTTATTCTTCCTGCAAATTCAGGTCCAAATCCTAAACCAAAATATGAGAAAACTAGGGATCGAAAAATAATATATCATAATCAGCATTGGCACGACAGACCTGGGTGGGCCATGGCTTTCTCTGGACCATTTTCCCCATCACCAGATCTTTTCAGTTTTAAATAACCTACTTGTTTTTCCAGTGGAGTGCAGTAATCGATGTTTTGGAAGTCCTCTAGCTCTATGACCAATAGGTTTATATACGGAATTCTTATATATCTATGCAAGAATCTAACTTAGCTAGAAAAATTACTTCTGAGAAAGGTGAGATTACAAATATTAAAATGCTACATTTGATTGCCAAATGAAATATGTAGATGTTTCTCTTAATCGTCTTTCACCTCCTCACAATTTGAACAATGAAACAGGTTGGACAGTTTTTATACTTTACTTTCATTAATAGAGATTTGAGAAACTTTCATAACGTTTTAAATTTCCTTTTTTAAATAATATTTTTCTATAACCGTCGTCAAACAGCCGACCCTATTTCGGGTTCAACTTCATAGCCTTGTAACTTTGAGCCCAATCCAGAAGACAAGGGATCTCCTGGATCAAGTATTGGGAGAAATTTGCTTTCGGAGGACTTTTTGATGAAGCTGACACGCATTTCCTTTACATGAAGAGGAAAATCACGAAAACCCTCCACAGTTAGCTTGATGATAAGGGAACTCTAGCCCATGATCCGTCTTCCACTAAGGATATTATATGTCAGTACTGTGGTCGGTGCTTGCTGGGTGCAGAATTCGCATCGACCAGCCATCGCTGCGATTCTTTAAATATATATTTTCAATTCATAAAACGCACATGTTTCTTATTTTTGTTAATGATTCCAAAAATTTGTTCTAAGATTGCCGATTATGAATCTCGCTGGTTTACAGTTAAGCTAACTCGGAGTCTTGTGCCGATGAGCCTGCAACTGCTTCGTGCTCTCGTGCAATCACAGCAATGTATCAAAAAATTTGTAAGTGGGCAATAAAAACTGGATCATGTAGTGATTACAAGTAACTTACAGCTAAGTTAAACAAAGAAAATTTAAATAATGCAACATTCAAATATGGCATTTTTATCAACGAGAATAGGGGAAAATGCATACGAGAATGTCACAAAATAAATATATTAGTAGATAATAATGCAAATCATTGCATAAATTTTGGAAACCGATAGAAAACAATGTAAAAGATTGCATGAATTTAGGAAATGGTTGCTAAATATTGAGTTATAATATAGAAATATTTAGTTAAGCTTTGTAACTATTCCACTCGTATAGTTTCGCTTAAATTAGGAATTTTTTTAAAGGTTATCTTTTTCTAAACAGATATTTCTTTCTTTTAGGGTAAATGTTTTTTAAACATGTATTGCAATCATTTTAATTATATGTTGTATAGCATATACAGTATGTTTATGATATGTATAGTATTTTGTAATTTGTGTAACGTTTTAATGCTTATTTTAGCTTAGATTTTTTAATGAAAATAACATGAATATTGCGTTTGTACATGCTTTAAGAACTTTATACACTATACTTTTAAAATTGTAAGCATGCTATTTAGTTATTCATAACACGTGAATTCAAGTTTAATGGTTCTACTTTACATTCATGATACTTTAATTAAATCAGATTATGAAGAAGAATTAAATGTTTTTCAGTAGCAATAATATTTTATTAACATTCTCCTGTCTCTGCAATAATATTATTGAATGCACTCCAAACTTTGGAAGATTGAAAACATAAAGCACCCCCGCCTCGCTTCTGTTGAGAAACCTAAAAGAAAATCAAATGATTATCAGTTTTAAACTATAGTAAAAGGAATGTTTAATGCTAAGAATGTTAAATACAAGTAATATTTTCGTAATATTTTTTGAAAATTCGGTTTATCAGTTTCGGTTTCAAATATTCTTTCAAAATATCAAAATAAACTAGATTACATTTTTTTTAAAAATTAAGCTCGTTGTAACCGGTCATATTAAATTTTAAGTTTTGTAATTTTAAATTCTATAATTTTACTAAAAACATCGAAGAACTTTTTTTTTCTTGCATTTCTTTAAATACTTAATCTTGTCTAATTTGAGAGTAGGGATTGGAAGTCTGGAATTAGTTTTTAGTATAAAGATACAGATTTCTTTTTAAAAATGACATTTTCAGTCTATAATTTGTATTCAAGTTAAAGTATGTTATAAAATTGCATAGTAAAATATGTCCGAAAATGTCGCCACAAGCGCCAGGGGTGCTATCTAATTATAACCGGCTCAGAAGCACACGAAGAAACAGTTCATTATGGAAAAGAGCCGCTAGTGGCGTAGGATGATTGTTCTGGCATGGGTTGCAGTGCAATTTTAATCCTGATGATGTGCCCTATAGCAACATTTTTGCTGCCGAATTTATGAGAGAGTAAATGATTGCAGATATGAAATTTGCAATTGGAAAGAATTTAAGGTCCTGTTAATTAAAATCTCATGCAGCAGAAAAAAAACTTCCTCAGTGTTTTTTACTGTTCTTTTTAATTATTATTAAAAAAACAGTTGCGCGAGATTTCTACTTTGAATCTTATTACCCCTTTATTATTTTGTCCTTAATCTGTGGTTTTTAATTAACCCATAATTTATAAATTAAAATAAAGGGAACAGATTACATAAAATCGCTCGTAGTATAGATGTTGTTAAATTTTCAATAAAATCGAATGTTACTCATAGTTTGAAATTTTTAATTTTAAATTTCATATTTAGAAGTTTTTTGGTAAAAATTTTTTCTTCAAATGCAAATGAAAATTATCAGCTGAAGTTAAGTAAACAAGTCTGTAAATGAATAATCGTTGAATAAATAGAGAAAGAAAAAAATTAAAATTCTGTAAAAAACGTGCAACTTATAACAAGAGAAAATAAGCAAGAAGGCAAAAAGCAAGCGAAAAATTTGAAAATTGTTTCAGTAGTTTTTCAGAAAACTACAGGGTAAATCATGAGTTAGCCTTTCTGTTAACTAATTAGATCGTTTAGGCTTTTCCAAAAAAAAAAAGTTTATAAAAATTTATTCGTTTCTCTTAGAAGCTGCGACCTTTCAAACTTCTCAAATTTCTTTTTTATTCATTTAAATCTTTAACTAGCTTTAAAGTATTTCAACCAATACACATTTTTTTGAAGTTTCAAAAATATAATGTTTGATATTGAAATCTTTAATAAAATGTTTTTTGCAAATAATTGTGTTTGATCGAAAATGAATATTGGATGACTAAAAATTAAAAAAAAAAAAATGCGTGTTATAAAAAAAAGATAAAAAAAAGTCTTTGATATTCCATTTAGTAGTTTCTGAACAACTACATCGAAGTTAACCATTTCGTACACTGCTTAGCTCTTGTGACTCTCTTTAAAGTTTAAAAAAAATACTTACGAAAACTCGATAGTGCAAACCACAAATTGTCTTCCTTGGTTGTACGAACCTTAACTTATGCGGAGAATGATCTCGCATTATGTCTAGTTATTCAAATATAATAAAAATATTATTTTGGAAATCACGCTGTTGTTTTGCGAATTTAAATGTATAGAAATGAAATGCGGACAACAAAAATTAGAATAAAAAAAAAGTCGATGATGATCAATTTAACAATTTTCGAAAACTACACAAAAGTTAGCCATTTTGTAGTTGGCTTAGAGCTTGTGATTCTCTGGCGAAATAACTATGGTAACTTGATAATGCAATCTTCGAATTATTTTCCTCCGTTGTATGAATTTCAACAGATGAATGATGAACAGATGAACTGAGAATGATTTCGCATTAAATTTAGTTATGTAAAGATAAAAAAAAGGGATTTTTTAGAAAATAGTGCTGTTGTTTGGTACCTTTAAACTGCCAAACGAAAACTGAAATGAATTATTTTGTAAGGTTGTTTTTGAAGGCTCTGTTGTCGCATGAAATAATGCTTTTTACGCTATTAGTGCTTTTACTTCTTTTTTTATTATGCTATTTTCATAACTTCTGTGAGTTTGCAACAGTTACTCATGACTGCTAGGCCAAGTTTAGCCTGTATTTAGGCCGTGATTTCTATGTATATTCTGGGGCATTGGCGCAAAATGTCAATATGGAGAAAAGTCACAGTTTTGAAAGCGTTTGTAGTCTAGTTTCCAAATATTTAAAAACTTACTCCAATATTGCATATTCTGGGCTCATAAAAATTCGCAGTAAATTAGGATAAGGCATTAATTTTGATAACTTTTCCTTAGGTGGAAACATGTCACCAAACTGGTGAATTTAAAACAAAATTTTAGAATATTTAGAAGAAGAATTTAGAATATTTAGAAGAATTTTAAAATATTTTAGTTATTCGTCTTTTCTAAAACTCAGATAATTCTTCACTCCAAAATGACATATATATATACAGTAAAACTTGTGTAAGTTGACCACTTGTGGTGCATTGTTTTAGTGGTCAACTTATAGAGGGGAAGGGTCATTGTTTACTATTTCGTTTCTTATATCATGTTGCTATATATTAAATTGTTTTTTTTTTTTACTTGACTTAAAAATTTTATTCAGAAAATATGCAAAGGAATATCTTAAGAAATGTGTTTAAACTTGAATGAACTTCAATTTGATACACATAATTCTAATCTTTAACTAATTTTTTAAAAAAAATTATTTTGTTAGTCATGCATGGGAAGTGCTTAATAAATATAATTTCTTAAAATATCAGAACACGAAAACATGTAATTTGAAAACTTTAACAAAATAAAATTATTTGAACACTTTAAAATTTATTTACTACACTTAAAGATCAAAGACCATAAATGAAGGATCAAAGCATATTTCAGAGAATTCCTTTATTCAAATGCTCACTATTGCAACTGGAAGAGCAACTTTTCAACTAACACATCTGTTTTCAATGAACTGATGAAAGAAGTGGTCAAAAGCTGACCCCTTACAGTTTCCCCTGATGGTCAACTCACTAAAGGGCTTAGATTAGCTTTTTACACTATTTCACCAAACAAGTGAAATTTTAACATACATTGCCAAAATGGCAGAAAATTTTCTGAATTTTTTTTCTTCTGATCAACTTATGAGGGTTTTAGAATAGAATTTCATAATACTCCTAGATAAAATTGACTTATTTCAGTGGTCAACATACAAGATAGACAGATGGTCAAGTTACAAAGGTTTTGCTTTTTTATATTATATAGGAAAAATTGCGTTCTTGATAATTGAGGTCAACTTATGCAGGTGCCCAACTTACAAGGGTGGTCAACTTGGCAGGTTTCACTGTATATAGTTTGAAATTATAGTTTTGCTTCAAGTGTACTTACACTGCGACGTTTTTTTTTTTGTTTCTTTGGATAAAGAACTTCGAAAAAGCATGTTAAGTTAGGTAAGGTGGGGAAAAGAAGATCAGATTAAAAAAGGAGCTATTATACACAGAAACAATTCAGATTCAATACCATTCTGTTCATATCCGTGATGCAAATCCATTTCATCTTATTCCTGGTTGAAATGGCCCATTTACTGTGATCTTCAAATGATTGAAAATCAATCATTTTTTTTCTTCTGCCATCTTTTACAGTCATATTGATAGCCACAATATCGTTTACAGTGTATTTGGTTCTGCAAGTTTCGTTCATATTCTTTCCTCTTCGCCATGTTTCAACCAGTAGGGATGATTTAATGCCAGGTGCAATGATATCGCCATATAAATCTGTAAAATAAACAATCTTATGTATAACAGAAAATAGTGTTACTTCAGTTATAGTAATCATGACTCTAATAATTTGGTCAAATAAATTTTAAAGTAGCATCATATGTAACATCAGATGAAGATATCGCAATAATTACGAAAGGGATGTACGAAATTTACGAACGAGAGTCTGATTAGTACTATTTTACAACAATTTAACAACAATATTATTCCCATATGGTGTTGCTATATTTCAAAAACTATGTTATTTTATGCAGGGTGTTATGTAAAGACTGCTGTTAATATGTATATTAAAAACACTTGTCGAAAAGGAAAGCAGAGAGTTAAATTGAGACATTGGATGTCACAAATTAATATTTAACAAAGGAAAAAACAAAAACGTTACCGAAATATGATTAATAATAATAGAGGAAGGCAGATGTAATACCCACCAAAACAAGCTTAATTGGAGGTTTAAATTGAAGAATTTCTAATAATTGTTTTTCAACTCCTCTCTGGTTTCCTACCTAAATAAATTTTCCAATGAATCTTGCTTCGTATGACTTCCTGAACTATGCTTTGATAAACTTCGAATATGTTTTTGTTTTTTCCTCGATTAAATATAAATTTGCGAACCTCAACTTATACTTCTTTAATAAGGATTTTAAAAATACATACTAAAGGTCATCTTAACGAAACACCTTGTGTATTTATATCTTTAAAAATATTTGAATTCGTAGCAATGAATAATTTACTTTAGTTATTGCACAAAACAGATGATAATGGCTATGATGGAAAATGGGGAATATGTAAAAAACAAAGTAAAAAATGATGTTTTAAAGTATCCTTACATTAGAGATTAGATTATAATATTTTTTTTGAATAAATGTTTTTCTAACGTTACGTTCTTGAGGAACAATATAAAACCATCCAAATCCTGCTTTTTTCATGGATGGTTTTTACAAGAGGTAGACAGAAAGTATTGTAGATAGAAAATATTCTTTACTCAGCCAGTGCTTTGTACAGTTGTCATGCATCTTTAATTTATATGTTGTGGCGGTGAAAGTATTTTCAATTTAAATTTTTAAGACCACATATTGAAATAAAAAACTTACATTTTGTTTCTACTTTAAATATAAAAATAAAACCTTACTTAAAATGTGTAAAAGCTGGCAGCTATGCAATCTAAACTTTCGATAACGCTAAAATTGATGCACTATGAAGATATCGGCTAGCATTTTCATTAATTCAAAATAAAAAAAAGACACAATTTTTCTTATGATTTTGATGTAAGATGATAGTAACGGAGCAAAATATTTTAACATGAAGACGATAATATTTTAAAGTTAGAAGCATGCAGCTTTTGAATTTGAATAATAATCAATACCAAAAGAGAATGAATCACTGTACAGATTTTGATATTTTGGTTTTGAGGGCATTTCCATTGACTTTTGCAGATTACGCGAAAACATTTATGTATATCTAATACAAATATTTTACTGACATGAATTTTTATTTAGAAAATTTTCGTCTTCATAAAAAAAACCCTGTCTGCTTTAAGTATAAAGCCGAACGCAACGACAACTTTCATGAAAAAACAAAAATTATCATTATTACTTATATTAAAATTGTCCGTGTTGTTTTACAAAATATTTTAATTTGTAATGAACTAATATTATAAATATAACTATAATATTGTCTAATTGTAATATTATAATAGTATGCAATTTTAATATTATATAATTGTCAGTTGTTATAATTTTCATAATATTTTAAAGTTGGAAGTATACAGCTTTCGCGAATAGGAATTATAATCAATACCAAAAGTTAATAAATCATTGTATCCCTTTTGGGGTTTTGGTATTAAGCGTATTATCATTGACATTTGAAGATTGCACGAAAAAACTTATATTTTATGTGTATCTAATACTTTTTTAGTGACAAAAAGTTTTATTTAGAAAATTGTAGCTTTCATAAAAAAAACTTAATTCTTTAAGTCCAAAGCCCAACACAATGGCCACATTCCTGAAGTAACAAAAATTATCATAAAATATTATTTATAATATATTGTAAGTATTATTTTACGATAATTTTAATGTTTAAAATGAGCTAATATTACAGGATTATAATATGCTATAATTAAAACATTATATAATTATAATATTAAATAGTTATAATATTATATAATTGTAATATTAGCTTTTGGGAGGAAAATTTGAATAACAAAATGTAGAGGAAAAGTCTTATATAGCTGAACGGACAAACATATTGTATTTTCTCACCTTTTTTACATTTGCTAGCCTTTGCAAAACTGATGAAGACGTGGTATCCTGCGCTTTTCAATTCACTTTTATTTGTCAGGTTTCCAGATCGAACAAATTTTGGCTTCTTCTCAAACAGTGATTTTGAATATTTGTCAAGTTTCGAACTCATTTTATCAGATATTTGCTTCAGATGGATTTTTGGATTGGTGAATAGCAAATGTTTACCTGCAATTAAAGTCTCAATAAATATCCTAAAAGAACAAAAATTAAATTATGAAATTAATTGATGACATACTGTAAGAGCTAAATAATTCAATTTTTTAATGCAAGATTTAAATTATTTTCATTGTTTGTCATGTTAAGTTGGCAAGTGTATGCATCATGCAGACTAACATCTTGGGACAAACTAAAGGAAGAAGTATCCTTTTGTTTTTTTTTTAAACGAAATTAAAATAGTTTCTGATTCCTATACCTTCGGCCAGTGTCAGAATTTCACCTTGTATTGGTGTCAAAAATACATCCTGGACTGATGTAAAGTTTATGCTACAGTTATAGACGCAAGTTAGGACAAATTTAATTCCGTGTGGACTTTCGCGTATACAAACTGTAATAAATTTTGATGTTCTCGGTAAATTTATGAATGTTTGAAAGGTTTCAATAAAATATTAATAAGTATAACGTTTTTTTTAAATATTTATTTTAGCTATAATAGAATGCTTGAAAACTTTATTAAATATAAGATTTTACTCCATGACTATTCAGCTTTCAAGGCTAGAAAAAAATATACTCAAAATGAGTTTTATGCAAGGTGTACTATCCAGTGGTCTCAGGTGCAACATATGAGGTGATGAGATAAAGTTCTGATTGTTTAACCGTATTAGGTGAAAGCAGTTCGTAAACGGTTTTTCTTTCAGTTAACAGTTTGAATACCCACTTATTTATGATTACTTGACTGTTTCGTTAGAATATGGCAAAATAACAATTAAATAAGTTATTGTTTAACCATTTTTTCAGAGAAATTTCTAATAGTTTGTGGAAATAAAATTTTATTCTCATTAAATTACGAGAACTTGAATCATATTTAGTTAAATAAGAAAAAAAAATGTTTAAATCATTTTAGCAGTGACATTTGTGCATGAGCTTAAGTTTATAAAAATGAAAATTATTTTCATTCATTACTAAAACAAATATTACCTTAAATGCAACATAGTTAAATGTAGTAATGCATACTTACATATTTTATTTAGTTCAGAAACATTGAAATGAACACAAATTGCGCATTGTCCAAACTTAAATGCGTTTTTGGGGTATTCATAACGCTTTATCAAGCCGAATTTCGGAATGGTATGCATCACCCAATATCCAGAATGATCACCAAATGCAAGAAAGCCTGTTAAAATAAATATATTATAAGTATAAATTTAAACAAAGAGACTTAGCTATTAATGAAAGAAAACAAACCTTTCAAGTGACCTGAAGCTGTACCTTTGTAGCCTTTAGGTGGATCATCATTATAGAACAAGTAGGTTGCTGTCTATATTAGTTTTTTTTAAGGAGAAAATATATCAATATTCTTAGTGAAACATAGTAAAATAAAACATTCAAGCGCAATTAAACTAATTTATAATAATATTTTCAATATTGTATGTTGAAAAGAAAATGTTTTAACAAAAATCTTGAAAATTTAAATACTGCGGAAATAACTTTTTATTTCGCCTCTCACCTTTTCACCCTTCAGTGCAATCTTCCCATCAAAATGACCTGAACAAAAAGTACTGTTTGCTATTCCATAACTGGTACAATTTGTCTAAAGCAAGAACTCCCCTATCCATTCGTCTGAACCCGTGGCGGTGACTATGGTAACCAGGTATAACTATTTCAAGTTGGGGGGAGGGTCGTTGTTTAGGACAGGTTTTTGGCTCGGGTCGACGAGAGAAAAGGAATTCTTTTCTTCGTTTTTTTCTTTGTTAGCCCTAGAGTGAAGAGTAGCCACCCTCCCTGGAATGCACTATTCTTGTTACATAGCAGCAGACGGTCTCGGACTTTGTGGCTAGGGGAGTTCTTACCGTAGACAAATTATAATGTTATTTTAATGCCTATTAGAATATAAACCGTTATTTAAATATAGCGACACTCCATAGTTAGGCTCTTTAGAAAGATTTTACCCGCTCCCTCAACGTTATGTGTGCTCACGTACCTATAAGATTTGCGAAGAGCTGTTACCACAAAATAACCTAGGTACTCTACGGCAGGGGTTCCCTATTCCGTTTTGAGGCTGTGGAACCCTAAATGATCGACCTACATTTATTTGGTGGAACCCCAAAACTTCATGAATAAGGTTCATAAAGAGTTGAGAATACATTAATTAACTAAAGACTGTCAACTATTTTAAATATGCGTAATGATATAAATTTTATTAATTATTTTAAAAATATGTAGTGATTGAATGAAGATGGAAAATTTTTCATTATCGTTGGGTTTGTGTCAGAGAGTTGAGTTCGCAGGTCTGGAGTGGCATTAGTCTAGTTGTTAATTAAATTGTAACGCATGTATAAATTAAAAATGAATGAGCTTCAATATGGTTTCCAATAGAATAGAAACGAAAAAGGATGAAAATGAACATTGAGAATGGTGATGAAAGAATCATACTTCTTCATTGTTGAATTTTTTTCTATACGGAAAAGTAACTGAAACATTAAATAAATAATGAATTATTAATTCGATATAGATTTAATTTAGGTTTTAAAAATTATAATTGGTCATAAAATATTTCTATTCTTCAGAGCTTTTGCGATCGTTCCTCGGAACCCTAGGGTTTTTTCGAAATACCGTTTGGGGCTTCAACGCTATTTGAAGGTGCGTTAAGTTACGTTAACGTTATTTAAGTATACATTAGTTCTGAATAAATATTTAAGATATTTTTGAACTCTTACGGTGGTTGGAACTGTCGTTACAACATTTGCATTTGTTTAGACTATAAGATATTAAACAATATTAAATATTAGACAATTAAATATTAGATATTAAATATTAGACAATATTAAACCTAATGGTGATTTTAATCAGCATATCCTGTTACGCGTTCGCAATATTGGATGCAGACTTTCCAAAGGGAAAAAAAAAACTAAACTTATAAAAATCATTACTTTTTCCTTTTTCTTTAGTTGTCTCCATGTTTGTCCTAGCATCGATTTATCGGAACTTATGCTTTTAGAGGACAATTTCCATTCTTTTGCATTTCGTGATGTAATGTAGGCATAAGCTTCACCCTCTTCAAGATGCCTAATATCGGCATCTGATGAAATTTTGGGTAGCTTATACAGAATGAACCTAAATTATCAGTTAAAGCCATATGTAAGAATAACATATTCCCTGTGTTGCGACAGAAAATTAGTATGAGGAATGACCAAATGAAAAGTGGACACGTGAATGGAAGCGTTTGAAATACAAGAGTGATAGTAACACCACCATTTATTGTTATAAACAATTGTAGGAGGTGTGTACCACACGTTACGCACATCGGATTTACAAGCTCAAATGAGAGTATTGAAAGTGATTTTAAAGGTGTGCTAAAGGTGGTTGAGTTTAGAATAAAACAGCGTTTAGTAGTACGGTTTTCAGTAGCAGTGGTTGATTGCGTAGTTTGTTTTTTCATAAAGAGTGCTGAATAAATGTCGCGAATCATATTTCTTCGATCTCCTCTAATCTTTCAATCATTAGTGGTAATCCCTTTATCAATTTCTCTAATAATGTAGTTATTTGAAAATCACGACTTTTATTTACCATAGTCTTTGCAGATCTGATGTTGGCGTCTACCTTTCGTGACAACTTTTACACCATTTGCTTACAGTCCATCGAATTTGTTTGGAAAATTGCTTGAAATACTTAACTACCATTAGACTATAAATTAATATCCGCATTATACTCACCTTTTGCTTTCACACGTTGCTCTGTTCTAAACTCGACCATTTTTAGCACGACTTCACACTTACTCTAAATGCTGTCATATAAAATGTAAAACCTAATCGTGATCAGTTGTATGCAATCTGCAGCACACTTTCTATGAAACCGAGAATGGTGACGCTGTGATCGACATTGGAATATTTTATTATTTTTAGTTTTTTCTATTTCTTAACCGAAGTTGAATAGCCGACCCAATGAAGGCTTCACGAATACCTATATTCAACTCTGTATCCTCGTAATTTTTAAGCCAACCTAGCAGATAAAGAAACACCCGGATCAAGCATTAGGGCAAACTAAGCATCGTGGAAGACTCTCTGATGGAACTAATCGCAATGGGGACAGACCACGAGAACCTCCCATGGTAAATCAAAAGGTAAAGGGATTTTAACCTATGATTAGTCAACCATTGAGGTTATTTAACCTCAGCATTGTGGGCGATGCGAGCTAGGAGCACAATTCGTATCGACCAGCAATCGCTGGAATTTTATCTCGGATCACATCGGTGTGAGGCTCAATCCACGTGCCACTTTTCATTCAGGCAACCCCTATTCAAAATATTGTTAAATTCCAAGACTTAACTAGTAGATGAACTACAGACATTAAATGTATTTATTTTTTATATTAGTTTAAGTATATGACCAAGTAACTTCAAGTAACTGTATAAGTCCAAGTAACTTAAAAAAATATTTTAAATCATTGTTGGAAAAGATCAATAATATAACACTGGAAGCTTAAATTTAAGCTAATATTCTAATCGCTACTCTGTTTCTAAAAATAATCAGGCACATAGCCATTAAAAAATCTTATTGATGGAAAAAATGATATATTTTTTTAATTGCAACATATAAATATATTGTGTATACAGTTATAAAACACAAGATATTTAATTGTTATATAAATTTATCTATTCATGAAATACGTAATTTTCAGTTGTATATTGACTTTATGAGAAATAAATTTAGGCCTGCATATTTTTAAACATAAATCTTAATCTAACATTTTGATATTATTTTGAAATGAAAGTAACTTAAAAAAAGAATAAAACGCATTCAATATTGATAAAAGAACCTAATTTAAATCTGTGTTTTATTATCCAATGCGTATTTTGGTACATTTTAAAGCTAGAAATTAAATTTTCAAAATAAATAAATAAATAAATAAAAATAAAAGATTTTTTAGTAAATTAATTTATTATAAACTGTTGACTTGATTTCGGTCTATAATTTTGATCTTGGGATTTAGAAAGACACTCTAGAGTTAAAATATACATACCAGTCAACTTTTTTATTATTTTCATCTTTGCAATATAAACAAGAATAATAGCCCACGTATAATATAAAATAAGACAAAATAACAACTACTTTAAGACTTATTAACATTTTGTTGAGCGAAAATGTAACAAAATTAAATAAATTTACAGCAAGACAGTTAAATATAATAAAGAAAAAGTTAAAACAATAACGACTGTTACGTTCATTCTTTCCTTAATTTGTGTATAAACGATAATTAAACTTATTTTTAAACGTAGAAAAATAATTTCGTGTCAATCTTGGTATTATTTTAACTTTAATAATTCTATCTATTTTGCTATCTACTCCTTGTGACGAAATATTTTTCATTATTTTGCTTCCATTGTATTAATTGAGCTACAAATAATAAATACTTCGCCGAATTAATATTTTTATGATAACAGGAATGGAGTTGGTGATATTTATATTCTGGTATAAGGATTATTTTTGTAGAATGATCTGATTTTACAGATGCTATATCAAAAAGCATTGAATAACATTAACCTTCTGATTTTTGTAATCTGAGGATAGCCACCCCTCCTTTTTTTATTTTTATTTATTTATTTATCTTCATAACCGTCGTCGAACAGCCGACCCAATTTTGGTTTTACGACTACTAATGTTCAACGCCGTAGCCTTGTAACTTCGAACCAATCCAGAAGACAAGGAAACTCCTGGATCCAGAGGTATTGATTTGTTATGGGAACATGGATGACTTTGCGACTCGACAGATTTAACGTGCATTAGTCACCACTTACTACACGGGGACCACTACACTATTACACTATTAGTCACCACTTACTACACCACTTACTACTCTTCGGCTGGCAGGGATCCAACCCACGAACTCTCGGACATGGGTCCAGTGCCCTACCAACCCGGCTATCCCGGCCTACCTTCCTTGCTTATCACTTTTCGAAAATTTTATGGTCAAGTATTTGATATAGAGGAGGGTTGATGATTATTTTTACCGTTAAAGTTCTTATGATGGGCTAGTGATGTGAAAAAGTTTGAAATATGGACACTTTGATAAAGGTAGGGTGATTTTGGAAGATTTTCCCTTCATAAATTGTTGAGAAAAATTAAAAATACTTCTATGTTTTTTTTGCTCAGTTATTTAAAATTATTTTTATGTATTCCTTCTTGTAGCTTTCCACTATTTTTGATAAGCATCTTCTAATGAAAAAATATTACGCCACAATTGGACTAAATGTGGTTGGTAGGGAGATGTCAGAAATACCATCGCACAGATATACCTTGTACAGGAATACCCCTTCAGAAATACCTTCTTCCAAACATTTTCTCGTAAGTTTCGGGACCTCCTCAAGGGGAAATCTCCTTAAATTTTTTTGAGGGACAATAGAAGTGAAAAGTTTACATTGATGAATAGTTGTAACAAGATGTGATGTTTAAAGGAATTTTCATCTTTAAACTGTATATGATAAAAAATAAATAAAATCAACAATTTTTTCTGTTTTCACTTCTAATTTTTTAAGAAAAACTTTTTTTCAAGCTATTCAAATTTCAGCCCCCTTTTCCTCTCCCAAATATTCCCAAACAATAATCCTAAACATCCTCCTAACAATGTTGGTTAAAAGGGGTAAAAGGGAACCCTAATCTTCCAAATTTTCTTAAGAGGCCCTTGGGAATTTCTTATTATTTATGGGTTTTTAGAGGAAGAAAGGAGAAGCTATAAACTAGCGTCTGAAATAACTCAGAAAATTCAGAAAAAGGTTAAAAAAATTGATTATTGTCATTGATTTTTTCACAAGTTGAAGGATTAATTCTATCAAATCTTCCTACTTGTAAATTTATAGTTTTCAACCCTTCTTGCTCCTCAGAAGACATTTAAAGGTCATAATAATCGCCATCTCCTTCAGAAATAAGGATTATTATAGTTATTAAATTTCGGAAAAAGTTTGGCGAAAAAAGTTTGAGCGATTATCTACGAAGGATTCCTACTCTCTCTCCATAAACTTCTTTTAGTCAAAACTACGACAGAATATTTCTGTTATAAGATAGTGTTAGGGGGAGGAACAGGAAGAAAACACTGAAATTTCATGAAAATCATGTTAAAAAATTGCGAAAAAAAAATCAGAAAAATAAACAATTTAATGATTTTTCTTCTTTTAACAGTTCAAGACAGAAAAATTCCCTCCTTAAAATCTCCCTTCTTGATCAAACTGTTGATGTTTCAGAAGTTCTATCTGCCGCCCGTTAAACAAAACTCATAAATAAGAAATTATTTTTCCTCTTACCCAATCAAATCCACGACCGTAAAATTATCGAAAAGTCTTAATCATGGGCTGTTTTTTTCCCTCCAAGAGACGGTGGGTGATAAAGACGAAAAGGGTGTCATGTTCAGATTCAGGTTTGGTCACTAAAAGATAGAGCCCTGAAAGTGGCTTGGTTTGGGTGATGATGTTCAGATTTTGGAAGTTATTTTGCGAGAAACAAGCATTTTTTTGGCAGCGCAGTGTAATCAATATCTATTTTTTTCTTTTCTACTTTATATATAAACAATCAAAGTAAGAACAATGAATAAAAATTAATAATCATGAAAAATTCATAATCATAAAAATTAATAATCATCACAATGAAATATCAAGAATGAGAAAAAAAAATTTCCGAATATAACCAAAATCTATTATTATTTTCGCTGTTCAAACACCACATATTTTGATAATCAAAAAATATTTGTAAATTATTATAAGCACGGATCGAAGTAAAAGCACGGATCGAAGTAAATTTTCATTATATGAATACCATTGAAGAATTTTCCATCGAGGATTATCACTAAACACTGGGAATCACTGCGCGAATCACTGTATTATCACTAAACTGTACACGCGAACAGAATCGTAGCCATTAAGATGAACTTCTGGAAATGTAGAATCGCTGTCACTTTGAAATAAGCAGGAACTCACAAATATGGAACAGATGGTCTTTAGAGGCATGGAATTCTCGAAAAGGGTAAACGAAACATTTTTTTTTTTTTTTTTAATGTTTTCTCCATAGTCGCACCATTCCAAGAGTAAACACGAGAAGAGTTAGTAGAAAAGGGGAATAAACCATCTTCTTCGTTAAGATGAGTCACTGACTAACGCCGAAATTGATAAATTTGCAGACTATGCTTTCAAGGTTCATCCAAATCCAATTAATTTCGCAGCATTGGCAATGAACTGCTAAGCATTCTCTGTGAAGTCTTCGATCCGTTCGTTAAAAGGCTCAAATCTTCCATCATAGTAGAAGTGTGTTCTTTTAGTTAATTTTTTATTTTTATGTTTTGAAGAAGCATTTAATATTATCCTGCGCCCGTTTCATCAGTTCTTAAAATCCTGCTCGGCTTGTAAAATGATGCAGTCGGACCGAGCAGGAAAACAGACACAGGATTTTAATTAAATCAGAGTAACTTTTATTTGATCATTCTTAGTTGAGTGGGAGCGAAGAAGTGATGTTTACTCCATCAGCAAACAGTCTTTCTGGTAGGGAAAATCTTGCAAAAAATCCTAAAATGTCTCTATTTAGGGAAAAGAGGGAAATCTCAGAAATTACTATTGGTTAATGAACTTGCTCGAGTGATTCCCACGGCTTAAAAGGGAAAAAAGATCTTTATTTAAATGTATGCATACTTTGGCTAAAAATAGATTTAGAAACAGGATGTGGCTTTTAAAAGTGTGAGAAAGTATTTCAAATAGAATAATTAATTAGGAATAAAGTAGGAGTTGTTTTATAGCAAAGAAACTAACATAAAAAGATTAATAAAAGCTTTTTATGTTACATACATTATAATTTTTCATTTTAAAAAAGATATTTAGATTCGATAAGGGTTTAAACTCTCTTTGTATGAAAATGATTGACTATTTTTTATTTGCTAGAAAATGATTGCCAAATTTATAAAAGCCATTCGTATCAGAATTAATATTGAAACTTAAATATATTGTTGCATTGTTGCTTCTAATACCACTTACTAATACCAGCAAGCCTGATATGTGAAATCAAGCGAATTTAACGCAGAGGGTGCGTTTCTTACTTCTTAGTGGCGCCATCTTTGGCCAAGAATACGACTTCCGCCATACACACGTCACATCCAGTTAATAGGATGGACTCATTCATACATCCATTTATCCCAGAACCATGTTTTCTCCATCAGTATTAGATTCAGTTATTTTGACCAGAACCAGATAATCTCCATCAATCTCCAGCACAGTACCTCTAAAGATATGATTTGTTATAGGAATATAAAGGACTTCGTTATCCGACAAATTTAAAGTGCTCTCGCCACTCTTTACTACATGGGAAGTCATTGGCCAGCGGGGCTCGGAATCATGACATCTTGGACATGGACCTAATGCCCCACCAGCCCGGCTTAAAGCGCAAATATGAATAATGGAAAATGCCCTTCACTAACAAACAGTACATAAAAATAAACATGACAATGCTAAGAAAATGAATATATTAAACCTAAAAGTAATTATATTACACCTAACTGTATTACTCTTAAATATAAATAATCTAAATTAAATCAGTGGACGCTTACAGACTTTGTCTATGGGTCTTTTGCGCAGACTAAAGACAAAATCTACGTTTGATTCTGCAAGTTTATTAATAAAAATGCCCATAAGACCCACAGTCCAAATATCAGGATCATACCACAAGCTGTTTTGAAGTTACGAGAGAAAGACACAGTGATAAACTCATCTATTTATCATTCTAGGTTTTATTGTCAAAATAATAAAATCAATGAAATTTTTCATTCTTGTAATCTTTGCTTTATTGGCCTTACCTATAGATAGAAAATATTTTAATAGATATACTCAATCATGTTTAAAATATCTCTAATATTCGATGGACGAATGCCTGCACCTATCTTCTGGCTATGAAACGAAGTTCTTGAGGAATTGTTGCATAGGTTAGACCTAAAATTCCTTCCATTATAGGTGCTTTATTTTCTGGTGGCAACACTTCAAAATTTTGCATGATGGCGACAAAGTAACTCAGGATCTCTATGTAAGCTACAGTTTCTCCAGGACATCCTCGTTTACCTGCATAAGGAAAAATTAATTAATACAATTATATAATTGTAATCTTAGAGACAATTTTTTTATCAAATTGAATAAGATGCATTTTTAGAGTAACATATATTTTTTGAATTTTTTTTAAATTACTATTTTTAAACTTTTTAAAAATGTTATAGTTAAAACTCGATTTCTGAAGGTTTGTTTTACAATGAGAAATATATGCATCATTTATAAAAAAAATAAAGAAATTATGTATTAAAAATAATATTGAGGTTTCAAAAGCTGAAACACTATTTCTTTCTTATTAGCACTATTCAAAAATGGTGAATTTCCTAACTTTATAAGTCGTAGATTCTTAGCAACAGTTGTCGTAACTTTGTAACATGCCAAGTTAATTTGAAAATGTTACCATTATTTTTACTTTGTTCGATAATTTTCCGATTTTAATACAATCAGTTATCATATGTTTAAATCTTGTATATTTCACTTTTTAACTTTCTTACCATAAGAAAAAGGGACATAACTTTCTTGCTTAACATTAACTTGTTTGCCGTCATTAGATAAAAACCTTTCTGGCATGAATTTTTCCGGCTCCTTCCAATATCGTGTGTCATGATGGAGACCCCAATTGTTGCCAATAATAACGGTGCCTCTTGGAATGTCGTAACCCTGAATTTTAATATCTTCTGATGCTCTAAAAGAAAATTAGTCAAATTGAAATGTTAATTAGGCAGAACACGAAAAAACTTAAGATTTACTGACAATTTTTGTCATTTGTGAAAAGTGATCATTATACAAATTTGTGATCACTTTTTAACACCATCCTAATAAGTTGGGAAATTCGAATCTGCTAAAAATAGTGAATAAATTGTTCTTGGGATTAAATGTTTTTTGCTTGGTGGTCGGTAAGGATCAAGAGATTGGCGATCGCTGATCTAGATCCTATTCACATTATTCACATACATTTATAAGCAAATCACATTATATTTATGTTTCCACAATAAGCACAAGTCTGATAAATTGTGCATTAAGGATTGATGCCCATACAGTCACCATATGGACTTTTGAAGCCTATAAACGCCCTTTTCACATACCAGCATTTATTTTTTTTTCTTCAAATTTTTATCGGATTCGCCTAATATATATATAATATTTTCAGGTAAATACGTATAATAATGCAGGTAAATATGTATAATAATGGCACGTATATTAATGTAAGTAATACTGCAGGTAATTTATTTTTAATTGTGATCATAGTTTTTGGTTATAAAAATAAGAATGTAAGTTTTTTTAAATATAAGTAAGAGTTTCTTCTCTAGTTTTCAAAAGCTGCGAGTATAAAGTAAAAAAAAGTTCTAAACTCAATAGAAACTACTTTAATAACATAATTTCTTGTAAATTAATTTGTTATTAATTAATTTAATTTGTTGTTAAATGTTTAATTAAGTATGTTAAAAACTATTGTGTACATTATTGTATATTGAGAAGTTATTCTGCTTATGAGCCCAATAGCAGAAATTATTGCATTGATTTACAATACCAAGGAAAAACTCTTAAGATTATCTGAAAAGAACGATGCGAAATATTTGTAATTAAATGCTGTATTTTAAAATGTTTTTAGATTTTAATCAGCAAGAATATCTGATTCTAAAAAGATGGTAGCATACAAGTTATGCAACCAACAGGATTTAAAACATCAAATATCGAAATATTATTTAGGCAAAAATTTATGCAAGTGTTAGACACATCAAAAAGTTCATACTCATGTCCAAAAGCAAAATAAATAATTCAATAAATTTCTAGAACTTTAATCTTACATTCTGGAGGTATTTAACGGAGCAAGTGTTCGATATCTTTGCTCCTCCATGATAACGGCAAGCGTGTAAGGAACTTTAAATCTCTCAGAGTATTGAATTTTCCCATCTCTGCCAAGGACAGTGTCCAACTCTTGATGGACTTTCTGTTGAATGTCTCTGTACTTAGCCATACATAACAAGAGCCAACTGAGAGAAAGACTTGTCGTATCACTTCCACCAAGAAAAAGAGCTTGCAAATTGCCACGAAGCACACTTTCTAGATAAATAAAGAAGATGCTTGAAAATGTTTTCATCAAAATTACAAAGTTTTATACAAAAGGATATTGTTAATCCTTTATCGATACTTGTTCGCGCAAATTGCTAAATCTAAGACAAGAAAGTACCATAGTTCAAGTATTTTATTTGGGACTGATAATAAAAAAATACCGGGTAATCCACATTGACTATCATTATTAAATATGTATTTTAATACTTATTGTTGGAAGTGAGAAAAAAATTATACAAATAATGTACGGCAAATTAATAGTTATCGATAAATAAACAAACACATTACCGAAATCAGAAAAATAACATTTTTGAAATACCTCGTGCTTAAAATATCCAAATTTATTTGATTGCCGACGAAACAATGAGGAGTTTTGGGCCAATTTTTAGAAACAACTTTAAAGTTCTACTGTTATTCAAATTAAACATCGATCGCGTTTTTTCCCCTCACTTACAAGGGAAACTAGGGAAGTGTGACTCGCCAATTTTGAAATAAACTAGTGGGATGTATGCCTTATGAGGAATAATTTTAGGGGGCAACATTCGTTTCGGCCCATAGAAGGTCCTATGAGAGATAAAAAATAATTCAATATGTAGAAAAATCGGTATTTTATTACTTCAGTGCAGACTATTAGTTATTGTAATTGTCTCATACTCCAATTAATTTTGTGGTACTTTCACGTTCTATATAATGCATATTTATTGTCAAAATTGATTTCGAAAATTTTATATATCTGTAATTTTTTAGAAAAACTTGTTAGGTTAATTTTAAAAAAAAAATTGACATCAAATTTTTTTAATTTTTTTTCTCAAAAAACTTTCTAAATTAATTGGAGTGTGTAATTGCAAATCAATTAATTAATTGAAAATTAATTAATAATTAATTAATAATTAATTACTTTTCTGATTAATTTATTACTCAGCAAATTAATTAATTATCCAAATAATTACAAATTAATTGGATTATAAGACAATTACAATAACTAATAGTCTGCATTGAAGTAATAAAATACCGATATTTCTACATATTGAATTATTTTTTATCTCTTACAGGACCTTCTATGGGCCGAAACGAATGTTGCCCCCTAAAATTATTCCTCATAAGGCATACATCCCACTAGTTTATTTCAAAATTGGCGAGTCACACTTCCCTAGTTTCCCTTGTTAGATAATAGTTTGTGTATCCATGATGAGTACACTTTTTTCCTTCAATTGTTGCCAAGTATTATAAAAATGTACATTATAGGTGGTATTGCGGAAGACACTAAGTATATATTTGGTTTCATACCTAAGCAAGGAAACTTCTGCATTAAGTATCAGGACAAATTAGCCTTCGTAGAGGACTTTTTAAATGAAACGAACCCACCTCGGCCACCTCATTAGGAGGTGAGCGCTCTATCCCCTGAGCCACCGCGAACTCTATCTATGTAGTGGTTCATTCAGAAATCACAAAATATTTTTGAATCTCCTCCCCTAAGATCTCCCAAAATTTTGGCGACCATTAATGAAGTTTGTTTTTTCTGAGGAATAATTTGTTGTAAGAATGTTGCAAATGAATCTTTATGATTCAATGGAAAATAACAATTCATGTGCGATGGTTTTTGTGTTGAGTTTTGTTTATTGTTTGATGAAAGGTTTCACAAAACTTTTGATATCGAAATAATTTTTTTTGACACTGCCTGGAATCTTCTTTTTTTTTTTTAAACATATACATGAGATTTTGTAAAAAAAGTAATGTATTCTTATTTTAAGCTTACTATTCTTATAAGGAATTTACATACGTGCGCAAAAGAAACCTTAAAACTTTTGATCTAATGATCGGTACTTCATGCAATGGATCTTAAACTTAATGGTTGAGGGGGGTGACCTCAAATATGCTAATTAATTTGCGAAGACTGTATTTTAAGTCACGAAATCAGATACAAAACCATACTATCTCTTATTTAACGCACATTTTTTTCGAAGGTTTGTGATCCATTACTCTCAAATGTAAGAAGTAGCAGTTAATTTAGTATTATGGTCTCAATTGTTTTATGTGGAGTGCGGTTTAAGTTTTCTTGTTAATTTCACTTTTTACGTGTTTCGCTGTATTTCGAGAACTTTTATAGTTAATTGGAAAATATTTATGCAAGTTATAAAAATTTTTTCAAAAATTATTTATTATTTTTATTATTTTATTTAATAAGAGTGAAAAATATTTTGAATAGCTGGGCGCAGAATTTTTTTTATATTTTTTTCATTAAAGTAATTTTAAATGACAGCGAAATTTTGGCAAAATTGGTCGACAAGTTCTTTCAATTGATGTTTTGAAAAGTCGTTTTGTTAAAATTTGATTTCTCAGGAGCTATTCGACCGATTTCACTCCAATTTTCCCATGTGAAATTACTTTCTTCAAAATGGTGTAAAGAATTATACACCTAGCATATCAATTTTTTTTTACCATTATTAAATAAAATAATAAATAATTATTAAAAACTAACTTATCCTTGGAACTGTTTAGGGTGAATTGAATTTTACAATTGTGTGCAAAATTTTTTGAATTTGCTTAAATAGTTTACGAGCGATAGGGAATTACACGAAAAGTAAAACAAACTGATAATGGAAATTAAATTGATTTCTGATGATTTAAACTTTCATCTTTCTAGCGATTAACCGCAATAATTATTCAATAGATTATGATAATATGTCTTTTTTTTTAATTAACTTGTTATCCCTAAAAGTTGGTTGTTATGAATTGTTCTTATTGCTAAAGTTTCAAAAAAAATTTAAGAGTGTATGAAAAGAATCTAAGCTAAACTACTGCTACTAATCCAATAAACTACTGCTAAATCTAACGCACTTACTGCATTTTATGTAAACTAAATCGATCATCAGTGTTACACACTTACCATCAAATTTGTTCCCACTTTCCTTGCTCTCATTTTTCTTAATTTCAGTCAAAAATTCATGAACAAAGTTGTCGGTGCTTCCGGGGGTATAAGTTTTCTTTTGTACTTCTACTTGTTCTCTGAAAATAATGTAAATATTTCAATCATGAATTTCCTGTATTTATAACTTACGATTACAATTTATTAATAGTATTCATTAGTACGATTTAATATTAAAATTGCATAGGAACCCACGCCTAGAAATGTCATCGTAGGCAGAAAGGAATGTTTTTCTATTATGTTCTGTTTAGAAGTAAACGATGAAACAGTTCAAAAAAGAAAAGCACCCCTAGAAGTGTATGACGTTACTTACGGGCATGAGTTCCTATGCAATTTAATCCTAATGATGTGCCGTGTGATGTGTGTTCTTGCAACATTTACGCTTCTACCTGATATAAACGAGAGCATTTCGTCAAAAAATAGACTAAAAATGTCATTAAAAAAATTGTTGCTTGGGGTGAGAAACCGATTGCAGATTTGAAACCATTGATACAAAATAATCCAATAAGTTCTTTTAAGAAATCTCATACGCCAGAGGGAAAAAAATTGTTCTAATGTGTTATCATCTATGGATAGAAGTTTATGCAATAGTTCCTCTATTTATAAGTGATTCATTACATATTTCAAGTATACTACATTTACTATTCCATAATTAATCTATTAGCAAGATTTGTATTAAAATAATTTAAATTCCAGCATCAGTTTAAATTATGTAAGATGCTGAAAAACCAAAACGTCTATTTAAGGATGCATTGCCTTACTGCTCCTTAAACAGAACGTGAAAAACAAGCAAACATGTTAGCAAGCCTAAATTCCTTAAAGTTTCTTTCAATGAGTTAAAAACTTTTAATTCTTACCTGATGAAATTATTGAAGGCTTCAAACTCCTTGCGACTTGTTGAAAGGGAGTTGAGGCTTACTTTAGAGAATATGTTGTGCAGGACCGGGAAGTAATGACTCCAATTTGCTTGAGAAAAATGCGAAAACAATTTATCCAAAGTATTGGTGACAAAATTTAAATTCTTATCGTTAAGTGGCAACCTTCTACCAAACAATAAAGAAGACATGTTGTTGGAGACACTTAATGCCAGAAATCGAAAAACATTATTTGGTTTTCCTTTAAAACTGTAAATAAGTTTGATAAAGTCATCTAATTCTTCCTAAATTTAGAGAGAAAATAAACTTTTATTTACTTTATTCATGATTCTTTATATATATATATATATATATGTTTTTTGTGAGATTAACTTTAATTAAATAATACAAGAACTTTTAAGCCTATAATCTGCAGGGCAAAGCAGTCTATTTATTCAACGTGATACATAATAATGTAATACTTGAATCAAAACAGTTGTTTAAAGTACAAGTAAGAGAAAAAAAAGTGTGTCAATTGATTACTTCTGAAAAGAGGAATATAATCACTGCAGGCCAAAAAAAAAAATATATGAACTTAATGAAACCATATTTTACATTGCATAAATCTATAGTTGAAATTTTTTTAATGTTATGTAAATGAAAATTATTCAAAGGAAAAATATTACTTAAAACGAACTATTTTTATTGTATTGTTTGCATTGCTTTAATTATTTTTCGTATGAAATTTGTCGTAATTAAATTTATTCTAATAAATTTTTAAGTTTTGTTACTTAATTTAGTTTTTAGACTAAAATTATCCGGATATTGTCCAATAATGGTGCTTTACTTTCTTACATATTTATTTTCTTTTTTCATATGTTTTATTACTTAATCTCTCGCCTTAATATCTTTCGTTATAATCAGTTCTGTGAAACTCCAAAAGCTTACGCTAAGTCAAATAATAATTAGGGCTGTGAAAAAATTTTGCCACCATCGGTTACCACAGTACATGGAGAAATGTTGCCACCATAATTTTATGGCAAAAATGTGCTGTACAAAAAATACCATTGGATATTCCTATGAATTTTAACCATATACAATATACGTATGGCATGAATTTGCCATACGCTTATGGTTAAATTTGCGATACGCGTATGTCAAAATTTTGCCTTGATTTATGGCAAGTGCATGGTACAATTTCACTATAGGCAAACCTCCTAGAGATATCCGATGGTATTTTTATCGCAATTTTTTCCAAGGGAAAGAACAACTTAATTTTAATAACCTATATTTATCATAAAATTAGTTTGATAATCACCATTTATTCATCATAAAACATTTAGGTAATATTAAATATTAACATGTTAAAAAATCTAATTTGATAATAAAAATAATAGTTAAAGTTTTAGCGGTTTTAGTCGTCGACTGACGTTATAATTGGGACAAGTAAATTGTGCTAAAAAGAAGGAAAATAAAACAATATGAGTCTTGCATGTAGGTGTATTTCATATGTAATTTAAGCATATTTATAATTAAAATACATTTTAATGATTTTCCTCAAGTAAAAGTAATTCTTACTTGCACGAGATATTCCCACTTGCTTCTACCTAATCCAAGGTCTCTCATTGCTTTAACAGAAAACCTACGCTGCTCTACCCACTGAGTATCGTTGACACTCGAAAATCCTTTAAAATGAGGATAAATAAAGATAAATTAAAGATAAAAATTAGAATACAAAACTAAAATGAAGATGAAACTAAAGTAAACTAAATGGATAATAGACCAGCGTTTCATACTTTAGTTATATGCCTGAATTTATAATTACTACAGAAGTGCAAATTTTTTGATGTATGAAGTATTGAATTTTAAATTAGAAGATTTTACAAAGTGGATGTTTTATAGCTTAATCATCATATAAAAGATAGAATTGGTTATAAACAATTTTACAAGTGACATGAAAATAATATCAGGGTTTACGAAAGTTAAAAATAAACTCATTGACAACGAAAAAAAAAGTAAAAATATCGAAAATACAAATTAATATTTTTTAAAGTTTCATTTTTTAAAAACAGACATTTTTTTAAAAAAAAGTTTCGTTTTCTAAAAACAAAAGGTAAGGCTTTTAAAAAAGTGAACTCTTAAGTATTTATTTGAATTTAAATTGTGAAATTAATGATTTGATTCGAGAACTGGAATAAATTAAGAGTTAAGTTATTTTTTTAGTAAATTTCAGTTCTCTTCTAAATTGAAAAATTTATCGAACTATGGTTCATAGTTCCATTATCATAGTTCAACGTTTAACTATTTTTTCTCACTCAGTACAAAATCGTTTAGCTTTTCTTTGGATTTATTAGTAAGAATAACAATCAAAATTTGAAAGGATCATCTTAGAAAAAAAAATTGAATACTAACCAACTCCATCAGGTAGAAAATCAAATAAACCTTCTGGGCGATTTAAAGTACTGTTTTTAGATAAAGCTTCTTTCACTGCTTCGAAGTTTCCAAGAATTACTACGTATGATTGTCCCAAATATACGCTGAAATATTTTTTTATCCATAATTAAATAAAATAGACGGAGAGTTGTAAATATATACATTTCACATGCATATTCAATTAATAGTGCTATCATTATGTTATTATTTAAAATGTATTCATGATATTTTAACATTTAGAGAAGTACATTCAATATTTTTGTTTTCTTAGACAATCATGAGGAAAATTGTTGCTAATCTCTCGCGGTGAACTAATAGTTAAGACACGGTTCCCAGTAGATCTCCCAAGTCAAACATCATTGATTGCAATCAGTGTGCGAGTGGGTGACCACTTTGATCAGTCTGCAAAGGGACAAATGCGCGGTATCGCTCCTTGTCAAACTGTTCTACCGTAAAGAACTCGATTTCGCGCACTGGTCATTAGGCTACATAAGCGGGGGAGGCATACATTCCGCAGTGGATCAAAATTGTGATGTCATGTCTTCGGATCACTCTCAGGGATGTTTCTCAGATAGTCGCCTATAGCCCATAGTGCAACGTTAATAAATTACTAGAACTACTATTATATCATTAAAGTATTAAAGAGTCAATTTTATTTTCCCTTTTTGTATTGCAAACAAAAAATTTTTTTTTCTTGCTGATATACAAAACGTCACAGAAATTAATACACAGTCTACGCTCTTTAATACTTTGACTATGGTAGTCCTAACAAAGAATATGGAGGGGGATTTCGACCAAAGAATATATATCACCCCTCTATATTCTTTGGTCGTAATCTGGGGAATATGGTCCTAATAGTTTGGCCAGGAAAGCTGTCCAAAGTTTGGACCCCATAATGTTATTTTTACGTTTTGCTTATTTCCCCATAACTGGTGACATTTTTAAGTGAATTAAAAGTTTTTTGTACACAATTAAAAAAATTAATTCATCACAATATAATTCCATGCAAAATATAACTTTAAGTATATATGCATTTTTTATTACTTTATTTAATAACTTTCGTAAAAATTATGCATTGTAAGTTATAAAATTTTTAAAACGTTTAAAAAGAATGTAATTTTAAATGTTAAAATACAAAATTTGAGCAAAATCCATCGAATAGTTCCTGTGAAATTGAATTTTCAAAAAGATGTATTCATAAAGTTCAATTCCACTCCTTCAAACCATCAAGATTGACTCCTATACGTGAATATCCCATCATTAGATCAAAAGTAATTCTGGTCAATCCATTGATTTATAATTTTTTTTTACTTACTGTATAAGGAAGATATCTGAAGTGTTATTTACCATAATTACTAATAGAATAGTACTAAGAGTTTAAAAATTAGGAGATACTATGTGAAGCACCTTTTGTTTAATTCGATATATTTATGTAGGGAATATTTAAAATTTCAATGTTTATGACGAATGTATCGAACACGTACAGAGTGTCACATAATTACAGCCCTTAATATACATATTTTCAGTCAATGTTAAAAGGAAAGTAAAAGATCACATTAAGAAGTGCAATTTAATATTAAAGAGAGGAAAAAGCAGAAACGTTATCTAAACCTGATGAAACATTAACGAAGAAGACAAGATTAAAAAACTCAAAACCTGTTTGTTTCTCAGAGTAAACTAAGAAAAAGTGTTAGGTGAATATTTTAGTTACTTTCAAGGCAATCCAACTTATTTTTATGTTTTTAGGCTTGATTTCCTGCCAGTAGTGATTTACCAGACTTAATGAAATCTTCGTTTTTTCCATGTTTACTTATTAATTTATTATCAACAAAGTGTTTGCTTTATTTCAATTTAATACTCAAAACATATTTTATTTAAAAGCAAATTCGATATATTATGGGTATAATATATATTCTTTTTAATTTTTGTCATTTATGAATTAAATTTTTTAAACTTTTATAATTTAAAATCTATTTTTAAATACGAATTGCTTTTGAAAATATTCTCAATGTATTTGAAAATAAACAATGCGTTTAAAATTCAAATAAAGATACTAAAATGAAACAAAATTCTTAAGATGAAAACAAAAATATATACTGCTAAGCATTTTTTAACATAAAATAGATGAGTAATATACCATATTTCTTTGATTGTATTATTCTGTTTACACAATATTGATGTTCTAAACCTCCCCCAAAAGAATGAAAACTATATATTTTAAAATACCAATTCCATAATCATATTAAATCAATTAATAGTTAAAATCTTCCATATTTTACTGAAATTTTGTGAATAAATAAATATACTGAATAACACTGAAATTTCTTACCTCATTACGTTGCCATATTTTTTACTCAGTTTATCAAAGTCACGAAAAGGTTCTTTCCCAAGAAATGGAAGGTATCCTAATATTGGTGCACCCCGAGGTCCTGGAGGCAGTTTGTATTTTTTTACGTTTTTATTGCGCCACCAATATACAAATAATATAATCACCATAATTGTAAGAATTCCATTTATAATTAAGTTACTGGAGGCATCCTTTAAATTTCTTAAATTAAATTTATAATTTTGAAATACATTTTGTAGAACATCCATATTTAATTTTAATAAATTTCTAAGAAAATAATTATTGTCTCATTCAACTTGAGAGTCAGAAATAAAAATATAACTTGTTTTTGCACTTTATATCGCGTTCTTATCGAATATGATTTGAGTTATCAGTTCGCAGTTCAGTTTGTGTTTCCAGTGTTTTAATCTTTTTCATTCTTTTAATTTATTTAATCAGGTATTCTGAATATATATATA